TCATAAAATAACTGTTCAAGAGGGTGAGAAGAGATTTTAATGCAGTATACTGTATTAGAGTCTAGTAAGAGTATGCACACCACACACTGGTTGCTTTAGCATGTACCAGGATGAGAGGAGTCTTAGTCTCACTCTGTCTGTCTGTCTGTCTGTCTGTCTGTCTGTCTGTCTGTCTGTCTGTCTGTCTGTCTGTCTGTCTGTCTGTCTGTCTGTCTGTCTGTCTGTCTGTCTGTCTATCTGTCTATCTGTCTGTCTATCTCTCTCTATCTCTCTCTATCTCTGACATCACCTGCTTCACGTCTCGCTGGCAGGTCAGCAGCTGGATGTTCTGTTGCAGCCGCAATTTGTGCAGGTCAGCCTGGCGTGCTGCACGTGCATAGTGCTCGTGCTGGGCTGTGAGGAGGGCGTGCACGTGATTGAGCTCAGCCGTGTAGTCGGGCGTGACGTCCCGCCCACACAGATCCTTCACCCCGACCGTCAGGAGATCTAGAAGCTTTTCTCCCGCCCGCGTGCCTTCGGACGCCAGGTAATCTAACACGTACAAGATGCATTTATTGTATGAAGAATAAATATGTACTGTAAGGATTATATAGTATCATTAGTCCCCCTCCCCCTTCCCAATACTGATATATATTTGTTGACCAGACCACACACTAGAAGTTGAAGTGACTACAACGTTTCGGTCCGTCCTGGACCATTCTCAAGTCGAATCGACTTGAGAATGGTCCAGGACGGACCGAAACGTCGTCGTCCCTTCAACTTCTAGTGTGTGGTCTGGTCAACATACTTCAGCCACGTTATTGTGACTCATCGCCTGATATATATTTTACTGAATGCACATCATAACTTCATATATATAACTGTGTTGCCGAGATCTTAATCTCTGTACTGCATAGAAAATACAATGTTATAGAAACAAGAGAAATGTTTTTTTCGAGTTTCATTTAATACAATGAGAAAATTTATTGTAATTTTGGTGCAGTCCACACTTTAAAACTCACAACTGGAAATAAAGTTATTTTAGTAGATCAAATGCCGAGGCACTGATCAGAAAAGGGCTGATCTCAACAAAACTTCAAATACTGAACAGTTTGGTATATACTGATCCAGACCATTTCTTCAAAAGGTCAGATGCAACACGACCAAAGAACAACGCTTTCAAGCTCAACATGCCACAATGCAGGACAGAAAACAGTTGCTTTTTCACCCCATGAAGTAGCTATAAACCCATGGAACCGCCTTCCCGCCGAAGCCGTAAATGCCAAAACACTGCAGAATATTAAAATCCACATCTTTGGATTTGGATGTGGATTTTCCAAATCCAAAGATGGATTTGGAAAAATCCATCTTTGGATTTGGAAAGATGGATTTTTTCCATCTTTGGAACCTGCACATCTTTGCTCAATCTTTGGCGGCTTTGTTTACAATTATTAAACAGTTAATGAGCTCCGAAGCACCAGGAGGCTGTTTATAACAATAACAACAATTGATTGGGAAGTTTTCATGCTTGTTCAATGTTTAATAAATGTAACCAAAGCCGTCAAAGATTGAGGTAAGATGTACATGTTCGTAAGTAACTTGCGTAACTTTCATGAATCTGTCCCCTGCTCGATAAAATCTAGAGATAGTGGCCCCTCAGGTAAATTTGATCCCCCCCACTACAAGTGATCATTGTGTACCGATGTAGAGGGGGGGGGGGATGATGGGTTGCATAACACAAGAAAGTAAACAATCACCAATGGCCTCCTTGCGAGCGGTGAGTTCCCTGAGCGTCTTCTTGAGCGTGTCAACATGCTGGGTGTGGGGGAGCCAGCGGTGGGCCTGCAGGAGCACACTGCACCGCTCGCACATCTGCTGAGCGATGCGGTGGAACCTCACCGACGCTAGGATCAGGGTGCGACGTCGGTCCAGCCGCGACGCAAACGTCCTGCACGACACATTGAGAAGACTGCGTCAAATAACGCCACTCCGCGGATAATAGTGAGCGAATCGTCCATTTGACAACTGCTATATTAATGAAATATACATTATCAAATATTTATATGTTAAAGTAGATATTAAAACTTCACAATGTGGTATAAATCACTTTGGCCCTGAGAGAACGTGAAAAGGTAAAGCATAAATTTTGTGAATAAAGACAGACATATATATATATTGATGGTTCCAAATCGTTATCCTGACCCCTTCCAAGTGCTATATAGTCGTAATGGCTTGGCGCTTTCCCTTGATAATTCCCTCCCTTACCCCCCAATTCTAATCAAACATGTCACTCTGGTGCCGATATCTTGGCAATCATGGAACTGATTTGAAAAGATTAAGACCTACTAGAGTTATAATGAAATATTATATATTCTTAAATTCCCACAAAACGGGAATCTTGACAAAGGTGAAGAGAAAATTGTTAATGGAGAGGGTGATGGAGAAGACCTGCCTGACGAGGGTGTCGGTGTAGTCCTTGAGGGAGCGGAGGTCGGTGGTGGTGGTGCGGTGGTCAGCCAGG